GAGAGAGAGAGAGAGAGAGAGAGAGAGAGAGATGTCTCAGCGTCCTCCAGAAGCTCATATAACAAGTCCCTTTTTTCGTTATTACCTAATACTGAAGTAAGATGCTGGAAAAATGTTAAAGATGGAATTGAAATCAGAGCCAAGGTGTATAAGATGTGCTAGACAAGATTTCAATATAATGTTATCCTTATTCTTCCCTACTGTCATGAGATAATTTAGGGTTTTGTACGAATGCTTGTGTATAGTCTACCAACTCCGTCATCCGGACAAAATACCAAAGTAACTCTCATGTCCCTCAATAATTCGTTATGGACAGTGTTACTATTTTTACTTGTTAATACAAAAGATACATCTTGACAATCGTCCGACACCCCATGACAGTCTTTGGTAAACAGCTTGTTTGAGGAACAACCGCCGGGCTAGTAGGTCGCATCTTTGATTAGAACAGAAGACAAGCCTATCGAATTTCAATTAAATGGCCGTTGTCTTTCTGCGCAATTGTCCAGGGCAAATTACGATCTATACCCATATGTTGGTGGTCCCATAATCTAACCGTACATCTGTTGGGGAGTTGTTTGGGGTTTGTTTATTGTTGTTGTTGTTTTTTTTGGGGGGTGTTTGTTTGTTTTTTTTGGTTGAGTTGTTTTTTAGGGGGGGGGGAAGGAGAAGGCTGGGTTTCAGCATCAAAGAGTAACTCTTCTGATGGGAGAAGACACAAACGTTGGCTCACAGTTGGTTAATGAAAAGCGTATACTTTCTCAATATATTTTTATTGAAGACTTATAGATGGGCCTCGGCAATAATTTAAAGACCAAAAAGAAAAAACGACCAAAAAAAGACAAAAAGACACAAAAAAAGACCAAAAAAAGAAAAAGAGAGCTGGCCTATTTCTTCAATCTACTCAATTAGTGGATAACAGCATCGATATAATCTAGGTACCGTACTATATGGTCTTTATGGGCAGATCCAGGACAGCTGTTTATTAAAGGGAGGGGGGGGGTAGGGGGAGAGGGGGGTATAATATGCGCTCAAATAACCCAACCATAAGAATACATCGTTGTGGATTAAACAGCCGCAGTGAATGCAGTACGTTACCAACTGAGATCCTCAACCTCTACTTTTTAAAATAAGCATTGTTACGCCTCCATCGACCCAAATTAGACCACTTAGGAGGTCAGCTTCAGACCCTGCCTGTCAGAGCATACCCTGGCGGAGACTGATACAACATCCCAGCATAAAGACTGAGGAGATAATCCATTTAGAAAATGTCTCTCCTCGTCGGAATCGAACTCGGGTTTCCTGCGTGCGACAGCGAATGGCCTAACCTCTACACCATATACGTTGGCCCACCCTCGACCCTTAATCTTCTCGGAACAGAGCTTTGAGACAGAAGTCTTGCATGAACACACCAAATGTACAGGTTTACCGCCTTTTGCAACTCTGTGAGTTTAATATTTTTTTTTTAAGGTGGAGCTCCCGATTGAAACGTCCATCTCCGATAGGACACAATGATGGACTTGAGCTGGACCACAAACCCCCACATACTCGCATTCTCACAATTGCAAGTCCTGTAGCTAAACCACTAGATTTCCAACATCACTCTGCAGAAACGTCATGTTTTAAATCGAGTTACAAGATTACCATATCATAGCATATTGTGGCGTATAGTGATATTATATAATGCTCCTGGTATCAATGTAACTCTCGGTGAATCTGTAACTAAAACCCAGGGATTGTCACAACTGTGCCAAACATTTCTTCCGTCATTTTTTAAAGTACAGTAAATGCAGATATTACAATTTTACAGGAGAGCCAAAAAATCGAATGTTTTCACCAAAAAAAAAAAAATTGCTTTAAAGATAATAGTAAAGGAAGTTATTAAAATCGAGTTCTTAAAAGTATTGAATCTGTATTTTTGCAACAAATATTATTTCTTGGTAACAATATTATTGAGGGTGTGTTTGTTTGTTTGTTTGTTTGTTGTTGTTTTTTGGGGGGGGGTCTCCTGTAAAACTAAAAGCTATATATTATGCTCTACTTTTAAAAATGACGGCAGAATTCATGATGAACGACATGATCTCCAGTAAGCATGGAAAAACAATGGATGTAAACGGTTTTAAGTACTACCTTTTAGTCCCCCCTTACCCAATCCTATCAGATTGACACCATCTGTTTAGTATAATGTTATGCAGGCGATATGTTAGTTGATACAGTCCAAACACGGTGATGATAACGCTAGTTTTGTACTAGGTAGACTATTGTGATTTAGTTATGCTAATGATGTTGCTGGATATGGACAAGGGCAATAGTGTTACGGCATATATTAATAAAAGACACAATTCTTGATAAGAACAAGAAGATTTTGATCCAAAAACGTTTTAAGGAGAAAGAAACGCTATCAACTTTCATAATAGTGTTCCTTGAAGTTAATGTTAGTCCTATCTTCCTTTGCTCCATTGAGCTTTTTTATGTAAAGCTAAGCCAAACCCTATGGGAGCTGGTCTTTCTCACTATGAGATAAGGCGATACCAGACTTTGACAAGACCACTCGGTGTGGAACGTGCAGACAGGATTTACAGACATATTAGTCATTCCACTGATGTGTATGTAAAATCTTGTACTATAATATTGTATCTAATTTTATTCTGAATAAAAGTCTACGTCTCTTGAGAATCATGTCTGAGTTTTTAGTGGCATAAGCAGAGTAGATTATGTCTATTATATGACACCCCGTCGTCGTCAAGGGATACATGATTTATTTATCTAAGCTGTCCTCCACCTCCACCACCACCCCTTCCCTCCCCATCAAACATATCCGTTCACATACAAACCGTCCCCCCCCCCCCCCCCCCCCCCCCCCAAAAACACCCCCTTCAAAAACCCCCCCCCCCCCCCCACACACACACACAACACAAGAAGAAAGCAATGAAAGAGAGAGAGAGAAAGAAAGAGAGAGATAGAGAGAGGGGGGATAAAGGGGGTGTAGAAAGGGAGACAGCAAGGGAGAGACGGATATATTTAAAGGGAGAGTTAAGTCTAAAAAGAGAGGGAGGATTAATTATTCACCATTATCTTCATTATATTAACAATATTGTGATAAAATTGATGATGATGATGATGATGATGATGATGATGATGATGATGATGATGATGATG